TTTCCATAGTTTGGCTTTTCCAGAATGTCACATGGTTGGGATCATACAGTTTGTAACCTTTCAGATTGGCTTCTTTGACTTAGTATTATGCATTTAAATCTCCTCTATGTCTTTTCACAATTTGGAGCTCATTTCTCGCTAATGCTGAATAATGTTTCATTTTCTGGATGGGTCACAGTTTATTAATTCACTCACTGTCTGAAGGATGTCTTGATTGCTTTCAAGTTCTATCAATTCTGAGCAAAGCTGCTATAATCATCCATGTGCAAGCTTTGTGTGGACATAAGTTTTCAGCTCCTTTGGATAAAGACCCAGGAGCATGGTTGCTGGATCGCATGTTGGGAGCATGTTAGGTTAAGCCATCAGCGTACCAAGGCCACCTAGGCCTTCTCCTAGGCCATCCTCCAGAAGTGGTATAGTTTTGTATTTTGCGTTTAGGTCTGTGTCGATTCTTTTTTTTTTTTTTTGCACATGGACATCCAATGTTCAATAGAGCTTGGTTTCCATCCTCTTAACAGGGTCTTTTGCAGAGCAAAGTATTTAATTTGAATAAAGTCTAACTTACTGATTTTTTTCTTTATGGATTACATTTTTGTTGTCATGTCTAAGAACTCTTTGTCTTAACTTTAGTTCCCAAAGCTTTTCTCCTATGTTTTCTTCTAACACTTTTATAGTTTTACATTGAAATATTTCATTTTGAGTTACTTTTGGTGTATGGTGTGATGTTTAGCATACTTCTTCTACCCCCCCACCCCCAAGATACCAAATTCCTCCTACATCACTTGTTGAAAAGATCATTTGTTTTTGTGCTGTTGTCAAAATCATTCAAGCATTTTTGTATGGGCCTATTTCTGGGTTATTCATTTTGTTCTGGGTTATTGATCTATGTGTTTTTCTCCATCAATACCATACTGCCTTGATTTTCTAGCTATATAGCAAGTCTTAAAATGAGATAGTGTGAGTCTTCCAACTTTGTTCTTCTTTTTCAAATCATTTTAGTTATTCTAGTTGGTTTTGGATTTCCATATAAATCTTAGAATAAAATTAATATTTTATTTAAATTAGCAATTAAAATGTATTTAAAAGAAAAGTTAGTTAGAATTGGATGTGACCTAAGTCACATTAAAATAAAAATATAACTACTACAATTAAAAGATTCATCATAAACCATGTGAAATGATCTCATAAACAGCTAAACTGGCCCAGACCCTTATCTGTCCACACCCATATATTAGGAGGGGGTTTTCCATAGAATGCTGGCTGTGACCCTTGGGGAAATTCATATGACTCTGTCCCTTGTCTGGGGCTGGCTCAGTGTCAACTGGCTGACCCCACAAAAGTCATCTATAGAATGAGTAAGCTTCCCTATATGGGAATCAATTAGGCGGAAAGAGTCAGGCCTTGTTAGTGAGAATAGGGTGGAGCCATGAAGAAGAAGGCACTCAAAGGGGTGAGGCATGCAGAAGATAGCGGTCTCCCACGTGGGGCAGTCCTGTGGCCTGGCAGTGCCAGGAAGGGTGGGGAACTAGACCACCAGGCACTCAAGAGCTGTCCTAGGTCCTGAACAACCTTCTTCCATCTTCAAGACAAATCATGAGCAGGATGGTTCTTCAACTCTTCCTTCGTGTTTAATGTAGAGCTTGGGGTTCGCAGCAATGGTGGAGAGTGCGACCGCTGAGCCATGCTGACCAGCCCATTGTGGTTTTTGATAGTAATTTGCTTACACATTTTCCCCTCCCCCATCTTCGAATAATGCCTAGTACATAGTAGAGGTTCAAAATCTCAGGCAATAAGTGATTAGATGAATTGGATATTTTTTCATTATCCTTTGATTTTCATCTTTTTACCCCAGCTGACTGTGAGCCCCATGAAGGCCAGGACTATGCTTTTGTTTTTCTTTCACTGTTTTGTTCTGAGAGATAAGCAACGTGCTGGCACAGGAGGTTCTCAGAGACACGACTATGGCTTGTCCTGGTGGCTGAGCAGATGGGTGGGTGAGGAGGGCTTGGGAAGTCAAGACGGACAGGCGGCCTTGCTCTCTCATTGGACCCTGGGGGAAGCCGAGGGAACTGGCTTGCGTGGGCCCAGATCAGTCTCCACGCCAGGAACTGGGCTCATCATTCCTTCCTTGAAAGCTTAGCAGGGGCTGCTCTGTGCACTTATCCCACACACATCCTCTCTTGCTTCCCTCCTGTGATGGATCTTCCCCTTGCTGCAGTCCCAGAAGGCCTGGCCTTAACCCCTGTCCCGAGCTCACTCCTACCTGGGTCTTTCCCACCAGCCAGGAGAAAGCCGATTCCTGGTCCCACCTTGGGGTTTCTACCAGAGTGGGGGCCCAGAGCGAGGCATGGCCAGCCTCCTTCTGTGAGGCCGGGCAGTCAACTGGAACCTGAGTCTGAGCTGGAATTGCACTTTCTCTCTTGTTGGCCTCTACTATTAATTCGCTGTGTGCTGAGGGTTGTACGGCAAGCCCATGGAAGATTTCTTTAGAAGGCACCCCGCCAGGCTAAGGCCTTGGTGTTGTGGCAGGACAGCACCCTCCTTCGGGGGGTGGAGGGGGGGAGGTAAACAAGTGAACTCGGCTTCGTTTGAGCCTCTTTAATGGATTCTGTAAAATGTGTGAGTTGCCAACATTATTTGTCCAAGCGCTTGTGAGTGTTTTAAAGCTTTTCTCCACCCATTTCACTCTGTTCCCAGAGTTCCAGTTCTCCGAGAGACTTAAGCAAGAGGAGGCATTTCTTTTCTCCCCTTTTCTTCTTTTTCTAATTGTGTCATTTGGAGTGTTGACCAGGCGGGTGGCTTTCTCTGCCCTTGGTCTAAGGCAGAGCTTTACTCCGCTTTCCAGCTGCTCCCACTGTCACCTGTGAGAAAGGAAATGCTAGCCACACGCTATGGAAGTCGCTTTTTTAGCTACGGCAATGGAATCGGCTTCCAAATCCCCTCACATATTGTCTCATCTGGGCCCCATTGAGAGGGACTGCAGGGCTCACCTAAACTGCGGTGTCGGCTTCTGCTGGCTCTTGACAGTGGGGCTGGGCCTTTCTCTGTTGGGGACTGTCCCGTGCATCGTAAGCTGTTGGCAGCACCCCTGGGAGCTGCCCACCGAACGCCAGCACTGTCCTCTAGTTGTGATAACCAAAAACATCCCCAGACACTGCCAGATGTCCCCGATGGTGGGCACAATCCCCCTTGGTTGAGAGTTTTCAGATGGGGAGGCTGAGCGAGGCACCAAGGGCTTGCCCATGGCCCCAGTGGGAAGCTCTAGCCCAGAGTCTGTTGGCACCGCCAGCCCTCAGTAGCCCTGAGGGGGCCATCTCATTTTCTCTGTCTCCAGTTCACCATCCCAGTCTGTTCTCAGTCATGGTCCTTCCCAGCGCAAATGCCTCTCTCCAGCATGTTGGTCTCTGGAGTGTGTGTGTCGCTCATGGGTCTGCTCTCCTAACTCCCGAGTTTCATGCCCAGAGGGGCAGGCTCAGACATCTCATCTTGTTTGTGTTCCACGGAGGTCTGTAGGCGGAACACTCCAACGTCCCATCCGGGGAGGCTGCCCCACAGCGACCCCAGGAGCTCAACTCAGCTCCCCAAAGTAATGGAGTGAGGAGGGCACCCCCTGGGTGGAGGAGAAGACGGAGTGACAGCGCCCACAGCCCCGAGGGATCGCTGGGATCCCTCATGTTCCCTGTTCTTCCAGAATCAGAGATCAAGTTCTTTGATAACCATTTGGGGCACCTGTGTTGATGCCAAGCTGGGAGTCTCCGGTCCCCAGTATCTAGCGCACCTCCCGCCCTCTCTTGCTTTCTGGCTGAAGAATGGGCTCTTTCCTCTAAGGCCCCACACAGCAAATGTGGGATTCAACAATGTTAACAGCATTCTTTCTTGCAGGACTTCCAGAGCCTTTACCTGCTCACGTGCTCTGAGGTGGTCCCACAGCTACCCAGGATGCAACAGTTCCCAAGTAATGTGACCACAGCACGCTTTCTTTTCATGGAGATCTCATCCCTCCACTTGTGGGATATCCATGGGAACGTGTCACCCAGCAGTGAACGTGCACCCGGTGGCCTCCGCTGGGCAGTTCTCAGGAAGCTTTAACTACAAAGGACGAGAGCAGCCAGACAGGGATGCCCCTTGGGTGTGATGGTGCTTAGTGGCTGGGTTCAGGGCAGGACCCTGGAGAAGAGAAAGTGTTTCTCAGATGTCTGGGTGTTCCCAAGCTGTGGGGGCGAGCCTGCACCACTGACCTACCTGTGCATGTCTGGCTGCAAGAGATGGAGCCGGGGCTCCCAGGGTGCCATGTCCACCCTCACCCTCCTCCTCTGAAACCCCAGAGGAGGGCGAAAGGGCAGACATGCAGAAAGAGAAAGGAAAGCAGAAGTTTCCACTTGTACTGGATGGTTTTGTTTTTTTATCTGTTTGCAAATGTTCAGTGTAATGGTTTGAAACCCAGCCGTGGAGCTGCCGCCGCCCACACACAGAGCTGCCGTGGCACTAGCTCCCCCGGCGAACCGTCGCCCCAGCATCGGCCATTAACCGAAGCCACCCCAGGGCAGGCTGCACGCGTGCCTAGCGTCCCTCAGCACCCATACCGCCTGGCACCCCCGGCACCGCCACCCTCCACACACACACAATTAAAAAAAACCTGCAGCCCCCGGTTTCTCTAGAGGAGGCATAGAGAGAAGCAAAGGCAGGATGGGACGAGCAGGGAGAAAGCTCCTGCTGCACCGGAGCCACCAGTCCTCGGGAGAGCGCGCCAGCCCCCGCCTGCCTGTGGACTGACTGCAAGGTGAGAGAGGTCTTTGTGATTTCTTTGTGCACCTGGAGGTCTGGGAGGCCAGGCCAGATGAAGGGGCTTAAACCTTGAGTCTGTCTGATGCCTCCCGAGTGATTCTATCAGGCAAGCATGATGGACGCTCCCTGCCAGGCACACGCAGTCATTTCTGACACAGCCCCACCCAGGTCCCCGTGAGTGCTGTGACCAAGGGGTGTCTGCTCCCCCGTCTGCCACCCTCAGCACATCCTGCGATGTGCATTCAGGTCTAATCCTGCTCTGGCCTGACCTGCTGATTTCCACCTGAGGCTGCTGACCACCCCCCTCCCCCCGCCCCCCGGAGCGAGCACAGACTGATTCCTTTGGGGCCATATGGAAGGGTTCTCCGTCCAAGGGGCTTTGGGAGACCTGTTTCCCCAGTGACCCCAAACCCAGTAATCAGAAGCAATCAGACCCAGCTGTCCAGCTAATCTGTACGAAATAGGCTTCCTTCCCAGTAGAAATCAACAAAGTTTAAAATAGAAGGGCTGTCATCGGAAACAGAGCCGCAGAGTTCTCTGCGGTGCAACAGGCAGGGACGCTTGCCTGGAAAATATTAAGTCCCAATGACAGAGCTCATGGCCACACGAGCCAGGAAAAGACTCGGTTTCCTTGCTTATTAAGCATGTTTGTGGGTCGGAGGGTAGCTGAGTGGGGACCTCGCTCCTGGAGGGCTGAAACCTGTTGCCAGGGAGGAGCGACATCAGGGACCGAGGCAAGGATGGAGGGCAAGAAGAAAGGCCCTGATGGTACGTGCATGTAGGAGAGAAGCAGAGGAAAGGCCTTGGTTCTGTGCAGTCAGGGATGAATCAGTCAGCGGGTCTATTTTTAGTCTCTAAGATCTGCTGTTACATTTGCCTGGCATTAATTAATGTCACAGGCATGTAACATCCGCGGGTTCGGAAGGGCCTCAGCATGTCACTCACACTGGGCGGGAGGGGGCGTCCACCCTGGTGGAGGGTTGCCCTCAGGGTCTGAGGGGTCTGGGCTCCGACACAAACATGGGGCAGAATGTTCCGCTCTCTGGCCTTGCCCTCTCCGGGTGTATCCGCTAATCTCCGGCTCCGGCCCTTGGGGGTCTGGCCACTGGCCAAGCGAGAGTTGTGATTGTTATGCTTTGTTTTTAAAAAAGGAAAGGCTGAAATTGAAAAAAAAAAAGATGTTGGATAGTGGTTTGGAATAAGGAAAATGGTGTGGAGGCAACTCAATTATCGCAAAGAGGAAGGAGGCCCCCTAATCCCCAAACAGGACTGATTTTGACAAAGTAGATTTCGTAAGCGGGGAACATTTTCCAACGTAGTTTAGACAAAATATATGTTAGCAGGAACCAAGTATTGGGTTGGGGTTGATTGGATGTTGGCTGCAATTATGTGTGAGGCTAATTAGCCTGTTTGTGTGTCAGAGCCGAGGCCTTCATTCCAAAGAGAACTTACATGGAGGACAGGAGTGTGTGCCTGGCTTGCACGGTGGCACAGGGTGACCGTCGGCTTGAGTAATGGGCAAGAGTGAGCAACAGAAGGCCACGTGGTAGTCAAACTATTGGGACAATGTTTTTGTACATTTGCAACAATTATTAGGTCAATAAGAAAGTGAGACTCATCAGGCCCTAATTAAAAGAGACATCCTTTATACTCTCTCATTCAGCATGCCCCCCTCGCTCCCAGAGTCAGACCGCGTCACTGATTACCGGTCCCGCGCCACTTGTCAAGGCCTATGTGTGGTCCTCATTTACTTCAAAAGTCACTTACGGTTGGTCCATCCAAGACAAGGGCACGGACAACCTCCTGAGTAGGCCGAGAGAGTTACTGGGCACTTGGCTGGCCTCTCTGTTGAGTGGAGAAATACAAGATGTGTAGATGACCTCTGGGGACCATCAGCAAAGTCATTTTTCAGATCCTCAAGCAGCAGCACTGCATTTCTGACATTCTGGAGAGGGGTCAGAGCCACCAGAGGGTGTGGTCAAGCAGGCCTGACCTTGGGGGCTCTGCTACCAGCTCCATCCCATTCTTTCACCCCAATGGCTGACTCCAGGACGCTGAGCCTGCGCCCTCTCAGCTGCTGTCTGATGAGCCCTGTTCTCCTGACCATGCCGTGTTCCTTGAGGACACCGACCGCATCCTTCCCCAGGGCCCCTGGGCTGGGGACACCTGTGTCAGGAACGTGGACCTGAGAGGGGAGCCAGTACCTGGCATCTCCGTTGCTGATGCAAGTCTCTGGCCCCTTCTGGTCCTGTTTGAGATCCACCAGAAGACGCCATTGGAAAACCAGTGAGCGCTTCCTCGGTGCCCACAATCTAGAGTCCTGGGCTGCTTCGCGGTTTCTTCTTGCACATGGAATTCTGACCTGCAAGGGCAAGGGCAAGGGCAGGGATGGCTTTTGTCCTTGGGCCCTGCCTCCACGGTGGTGGAGGTGCTGATTGGAGAAGGCCTTGAGGCTGTGCCCAGAGGGCTGACCTGCCTTTCTTACTGGAATCCTTGGGGGCCTGTGAGGTTGGTGCTGCCCCATCACTACTTCACAGAGGAGGAGGAAATGGAGCCGTATAGACTTGATCTGCACTTCATGGTCTAGTCATTGATCTCACTATAAAAGGACACTTGGCCCTAAATAAAATCGTGAAGGAACAGTGTCATTCCTGGGCAAGGTGCCCGTTTACCTGTGCTGCCAAGTAGGTGGAACCCGAGACGCCCGGCCCAGCTCGGAAGCACGCGGCCCAGCCAGAAAGCTGAGCCCAGAGCAGTTGCTCTCCATGCCTGCTCCTGCTGAGCCTCTGCATCTGAGGGTGACTCCCAGGCAGGGCAGTGTCCCCTGACCCCGTCCATCCCCCTGCAGGCCCCCTTCAGCAAAAGAGGAACCGGGCACATCGCCACCTTGACATTCTGCAAAGGTCTCGGTTGACTAGTGTGCAAGGGGGAAGCTGGGCAGAGAGTCGGGGAGGCTCAGGACCCTCCCTGCCGCCTCCCCTCCTGCTCTGTGACCCGCCATGGGCCTCACATCCTGAGGGGAGCCCTAGAAACGGGCCGTGTTGATGAAAACACACGGACCCATCAGCACAGGAAGCGCGGCCTCACGTTCACAGCAATAACCACCGGGCCCCTCACAGAAACCAAAGAGGAACAGATTTCAGATTTTTAACTAAATTAGGAAACACATGTTCTCCCTCCCTCGTGCCCTCTCTCCCCTCAGCAACTCTCGGTTTGTCTCACACGTGCCCTCTGCCCTCCCTTCCTATCCCCCATTGGGGAGCAGGACATTTAGGAAACAGAGTCCGCGCTCCTCTGGGCTGAGGGAGCAGCTGTGAGAAAACAGGATATTAGCGATGCTGGGAGCCCGCGGACCTCGGCCCCAGGTAGGGCTGTCGGATCAAACACAGGATGCCCGTTAGCATTTGGATGCCACGTGTGCAACAGAAACTTTTTAGCATTAGCCTGTCCCAACTATTGCACAGGACACACGTACACTAACGTAGTAACCCTTGTTTCTGTGAAATTCAAATTTAACCAGGCATCCTGTGTCTTTATACATTTGCTACTAGTGACTGCCACACAGGCGGCCTCAGCAGTTTCATCTTGTCCAGTGTTGGGTCCACATCTCTCTCAGGCCTTGCTTCTAGCTCCTGACATGAATGATAAAGCGGCCTTGTCACAGTCAACCAGCGGGTCCTTAGTGCGGGTCACGTGTGGCAGGGGTCTGCCCAATGGAGGCGTGTTGTTATTCGTTGTCTCAGGGGAAACTGAGGCTCAGGAACTGGCATGACTCAGGGGTGCTCGGAAAGCTGTGGCCTGTCTCCCTGAATAGAACTTTCTGGCAGTGGGTGGGTAAGCAGCCTGCATGCTGGGGAAAGCAGGCTTGGAGGAGCAGTAATAACAGGTTAGCTTGGGAACGGTTGTAACAACACATGCAAATTATATGCAAATATCCTTGGCCGCCTGCAGGCTGCCCTCCCTGGATGGGAGACCTATGAGCATGGTTCCCAGCCCTGGGTTTCCGGCAGGAGCCGTGTACCTGGCTGAGCACACCGGGCCCGTGAGAGGTCCACGTTCCTGGGGTGCACGTGGGCTGGGGTGGGAGGTGTGTGTGTGTGTGTCAGTGAGTGAACACACGTGTTCTCTTGGCTGGATGAGGATGCGAGGGGGCTGGTGTGGAGGTGGATATGTGAGGGAGCATGTTGATGTGTGCGTGACTTGCCACCTTGATCCGTGCGCCCCCAGCAAGCCACATGGCTCCTGTTTCCTGGGATAACCTCTCCCAGGCTCCTCCAGCATCTCTCTCCGGAGAGGAAGAGGCAGCCCCTCTCTGTGGGTGTCCTTCGCTGAGCTCTGGGCTTGGAGATGTGATGAGAACCATCCTAACCAGGATGCTGTCCACATCTCCAGGGCCCGGGTCTACCTGCCGGGGAGCACCCGGTCCTTCCTTCTCAGCAGTGCCTGGGTCATTACCGTCCCCACTGACAGGGGGTCCTCGGAGGCTTTGAAAGGTGAGGTGACTTGCCCACTGCTGGTGAGACCCCAGCCCAGGTTCAACCCCAGGTGCCCACACTCCCACGCTCTGTGACTGGCCAGGTGAATAAAGGGTGCTAAAAACTTGGTCTTGCCATGAGCTTTCAAAAGACAGAGCACTCTTTTGGAAAGTTCTATATGGAGACTTGCAAGAGTTTTAACTGAGATGTTTTGGGATTTGTGCTCTTAGGATTGATAGGGTTGGGCTCATGTTGGTGCCAACGGAGCCCGGTGTGTTGGGAGACGTTCTCCGAGAGAGGAGCCGGGCCAGAGAACACGGTGGGGGTGGTGTCCCCGGCCACCCTCTCCTCCGCTGAAGGGGAGCTTGGCTTAATGACTGCGGATGCTAGAGTGGGGCTGGGTGACGGGTCCATGCACTGTCCTTGCTGATTGCTGGCTGAGTGGCCAGGGAGACATGGCTTCGCACTGGGACATGGTACTCTCGCTGGCCTAGTGCCGCCCAGTCTGGTCTGCTATCAG